TAGGAGTTTCGGGGTTAGGGTTCAGGATTTTGGGTTTAGAGGTTTAGAGTTTAGGGTTCAGGGGTTTAGGGGTTCAGGGTTTAGGGGTTTAGGAGTTTCGGGTTTAGGGGTTCAGGGTTTAGGGGTTTAGGAGTTTCGGGTTTAGGGTTCAGGGGTTCAGGGTTTAGGGGTTTAGGGTTTAGGGGTTCAGGGTTCAGGGTTTCGGGGTTTTGGGGTTTAGGGTTTAGGGATTCAGGGTTTAGGCGTTTAGGGTTTCGAGTTTAGGGTTTAGGGTTTAAGGGTTTAGAGGTTTCGAGGGCTTCTCGGCGACGTGAAGGCACGGAGCGCCCCAAACTCTAAACCTTAAGCACCTACAATTTCCACGCATCCTCATATACTCCCGTAGGTTCATGTCCATCAGCTCCATGATGAGATGCACCTGACGCATGTTTACGGTAGAGACTTCGGAATTCGGACATTTATGGAGATGTAGACCCCCGATTATTTGAAGCGCTCTTTTTTGAAAGGTCCTATAGCAATAGGCTCCCTGCTACAACCCCTATTTTGAGAGGGTGGGTGTATCAATCAGGGATCTAGATTAGGGACTTGCGCTTAAGTCGACTTGACCTCGAAGGTTCTGGCAAAAGGGTTTATAGGGTTTGGGGTTTAGGGTTTAGAGTTTAGAGTTTAGGGTTTAGGTTTTTTTTACGGGTTTAGGGTTTAGGGGTTTAGGGATCCGAGATAGTTGGAAATGAAGCGGGGTACACTGAGCGATGAGAAAGCTATGGGGGACTAAGGTCTTTTATCAACAGTAGTTTCGGGTGGTGGCATTACCGGGGGACTGAGTGAAGGGTGTCCGGGATGGTGTGTGTGTGTGTAGGTTTAGGGTCTCGAGTTCGAGGTGTTCGCTGGAAAGTTTACAGCTTTAGAATTCAACGACTTACGATTTAGAGCTTCATTGCTCCCACCGTGCAGCGGTGTGGGGCTTCAAATGTTAGTGTTTCGAGTTGTGCACTAGCCTAGGGCAGCATAGGCACGCTCTGCGGCACAGCATGGACACCCAATAGCTTGACGACGTTGGTGTGCTTGCACGACCTGAGGGCTTGCGACGCGCAACCAGGCAAGTAATTTTGTGACACATTTTCCTCTACATGTATGGGGCTTAGATTAGACTATCGCTGCCCAAATTGGGCTCTTTGATGCTTATCCTTTACCCGCAACAATCCCAAAACCCAGAAGAATCGGAGCTCTATTATTCAGATTTTGGTGCGAGGTCTCTCTGGGCAGATCGTGTCGAAGCTTTTGTTTCAACATGAGCCAAAGCTTTAATACTTCTTAATCGTTGACGTAAGCTTTTCAAGCTCTTTAAAGAACTTCTTCAAGAATAACAAATTATTGCCCTAAACCCTACACCCTAAACCCCAAACCCCTAAATCCCTAAACCCTAAACCCTCTTCATGAAACAGATCTCGGGTTTCCAGGTGCAGATCTGCGTAGCCGAAGGGAAAAGTTCTAAGCTCGGAGCGCCGAATGCAGCTCGCTGTGGCTTAGGGATTCGGGGTTTAGGGTTTAGGGTTTAGGTTTTAGGGTTTAGGGTTTAGGGTTTAGGGCTTGGGGTTTAGGTTATGGCATGACTGTGGGCAACCCCTAAACCGCGAGCTCTCGACGACCAGAAGTTCTAAACCGATAGAAAACTGTGCCGGAACCTTCCGAGCCACCAGAGACCTGACAAACAAAAGCCTTTAACCTCAGGGCATCTGAAGCTTCTGTGCCGCCGCAGCGGCGACAGGGCCGCAATCTCTCGGATCGCGAAGCTGGTCACTCCTTCCTGCGACGTCATGAACGATCTTGCTTTTGCAGGGCGGATTGGGGCGCTTGTAGTAAGGATCCTACTGATCCTACTATGTATGGTTGGGTGTATATGCGAGAACAGCTACACGGTGCCTCGGCAACCCGAATGCGATTTGAATCTAGGCCATCTACCACTTCTGCCGTAAACTGACCCTGAATTCAACCGCGAACCGCTATGTCTGGATCTTTCGCAGAAATGATCTGCAAGCCATTGGAGAACTCAGGTTGGTTTCAGGGGTCTTTAGTATACAAGCCATCTATTGCCATATACACTCTAAGGAGTACCCCGCAGAGGTTCTTATGACCTTGACCCCAAGTCTGAGCTCTAAATGCCCAAACCCTTCGATGCTCCGCAAGGGAGGTCAACAGACGATCCCCCCTTAAGGGTTTAGAGTCCAGGGTTCAGGGGTCTAGGATTTAGGGTCTGTTGCTCAATGGCTTAGGGCTTGAGGCTTAAGGACTTAAAGTTGGAAGGACTAGAGTTGACCAGAGTTACCCAGAGAGCCCAATACCCCTTAATTAAGGAATATACCTGAAATCATAGGCCCCTATAATTTAAGGTAGATTCCTTATTTAAGGGGTATTGCGCTCTCTAGGTAAGGCTGACTCCCTCAAACTTGAACTGCGGACCTGAGGATCCTGCTAGTGCCCTTAGCCTGAACCCTAAACTCTGTAGCCGCAAATCTAAAGCGCACTCACAGTCAAGGAAGCAAAAACATGTACAATTCTTGTTGCAGTTGCTGCACTCCATGGGCCGCCAATTCCAGGGCCCATACCAGGCTTATTGAATTCTGAAAATAAGGTTTGGTGGGAATATCAGGTAGATTCTACGATAACTCCAATCTAGGACCCCAAAATAGTGTTCGTGATTCTGTCGAACCCTATTAAATGTAGATGGCTGTGTAGTACGCAGCTGGCTCGTTTTGCCACTAATACTAATACTAATACTAGTACTAATACTAATACTAATACTAATACTAATACTAATACTCATACTAATACTAATACTCATACTCATACTAATACTAATACTAGTACTAATGCTAATACTAATACTAATACTAATACTAATACTAGTACTAATGCTAATACTAATACTAATACTAATGCTCTGTCCGCGTTGAGCCAGCTCTGCAGTCTTCCCAAGGCGACTAAAGGAGGGACCCTTAAAGGGACCCTGAGGGCTATACAGGGCTTTATGAGACTATATTTAGGGTTTAGGGGGTTTAGGGTTTAGGGTATATAAGGGCTATATAGGGTATTTGGATTAGGGGTCCCTTCTAGGGGTCCCTCCTATTGTCCCTGAACTTCCCCAGCCCAAGGCCTGCTACGTCCTAAGCCCCAGGCCCCATAATGTAGGGGCTTTTTTCCGGGTGTGGCTGGTGACAACTTCTGAAACCTCGAAGACCCGAATATCCCAAAAAACACATAATTAATGTAGGGGCCTGAATAACTAGAATAGGTTTTTGGGGTCCCTTATAGTATAAGTGTAATAAGGAAAACCCCAAGATAGTATAGGTAATTATTAAGGCCCCTATACTACCCGGCCCAGTTCTTATGTTGCGGGGTCTAGTCATGGATTCGACAACTCAACGGAATTTCGCGGAATCTGTCATGCACATGTCACGCCTTACTTAGGCTCAGCTTGTCTCATCGCGCCGATCCTCGCTCGTCAGGGTCGTGGACTTCACTGCAACGTTATCACCCGTGACCTGGGCTCTGCGGAAAAGGAACCCCAGAACCTAAAAATCACAGACTCCAGAGAGACATCCCTCCACCCCAAAGGCCAGACTACGGGCCCACAAGCCGACACCCTGAAGGGGAGGGCCCGAAACCCTAAACCCGAGAAATTGCAAAGCCGAGCATCCCTTCCATCTAATGGTGCTGGCAGAAAACCCTAAACCCTAAACGGCCCTAAACTCTAAACCGTAGCTTGCAAGGGATCGGGCTCTACGAGGCCTGCAAAAGGGCTCGAGAGAGGTCTCGGCATCCCAGAATCTGAGTTTATCAGGGTGGAGGCTTTCTTTCTCTGTCTGTCTCTCTCTCTCTCTCTCTCCAGCAAGCCAGCTTTGCATACAACATACATAGTTACTCATAAACAGACAGACAGACAGACAGACAGATAGACAGACAGACAGACAGACAGACGGACAGACAGACAGACAGACAGTCATGCAGACATACAAACATACATGCACACGTACATTCATGCATACTCAACAGTGTACAACACCTTGCCTGTCAAGTCTTAAACGAGAAAATAAAATACGTTGTAGTCAGTGTGGTTGTTCACTGTACTGCAGCCGTGCATAAGAATGATGACACTACTCTGCATCACTGGTGAATAAACCCCGCTCCCCGCAGTGGGATTCTTTAGCATCCCGATTTTGGCCCTTTGAACAAGGGGAGAGGCGCAGGAGTCTGCACTGAATACTTCAAGCAGCCACCCCTTGCTGAGGACTGATTGGAATCCTTTCGGCAGAGCCCTCAAAGCCTGATGTTCTGTGTCTTGTAATATAGGGGCCTTAATAATTATGCTATATTTTTAATAAGGAACCCCACAAAACCCTACATTAATTAGGTGGAAAGGACGATCCCATTGAGGGCTCTCGCTGTAATCTTTCGAGCAACCGGCAACAACTGCATGACACGACTGCGCCGAGCCGCGAGATCGCGCATTCGCTCCACCTGTTGTGGCTCTGACAATAAACAGATACAAGTACCACAAGCCCTGATCACAACAAAAGCAGCGAAATTACAACAAACCAACAAGCAAAGAAACCACGTGAAGTAAGCAGAAGAAAAATTACAAGCATCGAACGTTCGAGTGGTTGGCCAAACCAAGGTCTTCTTCGGGTTTCTGACAGAAGAAGACCCCCTCACTCAACTTGCATGTCTTTCATGGTTTCTCTTGTTTCCATCCTTTTAATGCCGTTCTCTAGGCTTGCCTTTAAATCGGTCTGACATGTTCCATCCTCTTCGTACCCAACAGAAGACATGTACAACCTAAAAAAGCAGTGGCCTACACCGATCTTCATCGCCTCATTGCCCAATGTTGAAGATGAGTTGATACATGGGTGGTTATCAAAATTATGGTCCCTTTTTGGGTCCTTATTATAATACGGCACCTATTATTTAGGGTACCCCAAAAGGGACCATAATTTTGACAACTACCCACATGTTGCTAAGCTTTTGGAATAAGCTTTCAAGAGGACGATGCCCTGACGACCATTCGTTTGGAAGCCACTGCTTGGCGGTTTCGCCCTTGATTCGGTTGGAGTCCGAGTTGGGGCATGAAGCCTTCCGCCTAGGTTTAGGGTTTAGGGTTTAGGGTTTAGGGGTTTAGGGTTTAGGGTTTAGGGTTTAGGGTTTAGGCCTAGGTTCCATTTAGGTACTTTAGGTTGGAGGTCACAGCAAGATTAAACCTGTGAAACCATTGAACACTGGTCAATATCGCATTGAACCGCGAACACCTTACTTGAAGCCGGTCAGGCTGCTAAACCCTGAACACTGAAACCGAAACCCCACGTCCTGAACCCTCAGCCCGAAACCTCACATTCCTTACATGCCCACATATTCACCGGCCTCGCCAAAATTCCCTGCAGCAATGGCTTCTAGAGGAATGTAGCGGCCCGCCAAAGCCTCCGTCTCTTCCTTCGAGCTTTAGGAGCTCCCCGGGTTCTAGTGAGATAGGGTCCGCCGGTTCCTGTTCTGTTTATTAAGGTTTAAGGTTTAGGGTTTAGGGTTTAGGGTTTAGGGTTTAGGTCCTGTTCTGTTTAAGTTTATGAACACATAGTAAGGGTTTAAGACTTAGTTTAGGATGCTGGGGGTAGACGCAGGCTCTGGGATCCAATAGTGTACCCTTTGTTGTTGGGGTGTTCAGGAATGTGTTCCTTAAACTACATCGGGCTTCTTGTGATCATTTACGACATATGATTATCACTTGGATATGCTGCAATCTTTCGGACCGTAAAATCGCAAAGCCCCCGAAGCCCCTGAAGCCCTAAAGCTCCAAACCTTTAAGCGGTTTCAGGGCTTAGCCAGAAACCGGTACACCCTGAAGCCAAAAAAAAGATCCGAACGCTCAGATCTCTGGTTCCTGGAAGGCGGAGGGCGTCTGCGTGGTATCGGGGTAGGGAGCCGCCACGACTGCCATGCCGACCGGCGGATCTCCTCTGGGGTTAGGGCTGCAAGATGCTGCAAAGGTGTAGGGCTGTGCGCTGTCAGGCTTAGGGTTTAGGGTTTAGGTCGATTCTATCCTTGTTGATAGCGGTTTTACAAGGGTTCAACGGTTTGTAATCGGTGTATACCGGGCTTGGGGTTGTAGCGGTCAGTTAGGGGAAAAATCGAAGTGCACGTAAAACCCGAATCTGAAACAACACTCTCGCACAGCATAAACTTACTTGGAGAGGTCCCGTGCCAGAAGAACATGACCCTAAATGGTAGGATCCTTATTATAAGGACCCCAAAATAAAGTACAGTACCCCATATTTTCGGAAACTCCCAAATCCTAAACCCTAAACCCTAAACCCCTAAACCCTTTATTAGGAATAAGGTACCCCTTATTTTCGGAAACTCCCCATGAATTCTTGCGCTCATCACCAGGCGGGCACGGATGCGTTTGCGAGCCGGGAGCCGGGTCATGCTCACAGGGGCTCATCCCTCTTATATAGAGGCCTTAATAATTAGAATAGGGTTTTGGGGTCCTTTATAGTATCTTTATAATAAGGAACCCTAAGAATAATGTTGGTGATTATTTCGGCTTCAAAATTAAAACACTATCCCGTGCTATCGACCGCAGCAGTGAGACACGGGGGGCCAGACTTCCAGAGTGTACTTGAGTCAGCGCAACAGGAGTGTATGCTCGATACCCAACGACCAGACGAAACACTAAAGTACTAAATTCACCTCAACCTTCTAAACCCGCAATCACAAATGGAATCCTTGAACCCAACCCAAAACCCCTGAGCCATAAGTCCACAAGTCGCCTCTTCTGTTGGGTTGGGGGTCGGCAGAAGCTTTGCGTTTGGGGGATATGATATGAACATGCCGGGAACACGCCAGGCTCGCGGCGAGGGTTGTGGACGATGGTCTCAAGAGGCGTGCCGGCCCAAATGGCTGCAGACAGCTTCTTGTGCTTGCGGTGAGCTTAAAGCAGGGCCCCACCCCTGCACTCTTCAACACGAAACCCTGAGACACAACGCCGAGTCTGTTGTAAGGCTTTCGGCCCCCGAAGGAGGACGGCTGGCATTGCTGGGGGAACAGGGCTGCAGTTCAACCACCGGGAAAACAGAACCTGGCTTTTCCAAACCTCATGCCTTCACACTCCGGCCCGAAACCCGAGTACAAGTGCTGGGGTTCGTCCGTGCTGTCGAAGGTTCTATCGACCAGGCCTCGATCCGAGCATCACTTTAGGGTTTAGGGTTTAGGGTTTAGGGTTTAGGGGTTTAGGGGTTTAGGGTTTTAGGGGTTTAGGGGCTTAGGGGTTTAGGGTTTGGCGTTGCGACCCGCAAAACAATTGCCAGAAAGGCAAACCCGAGGTCAAACCTGAAACCGTACACTTAATGTAGGGGGCTCAATAATTAGAATAGGGTTTTGGAGCCCATTATGCTATAATAAGGAACCCCCAAAATAGTATTGGTAATTATTTAGGCTTCTTCATTGTGTCGGGACCCTTAACAACCAGAACCGTAGTCCTCAGGGTTCCTAAACACGTGAGCCCCCCCGCGGCGTTGCCTCCGTCCCCGGCTCCAAAGCCCTGAATCCTGAACCATCCTGAACCCGAAATCCTAAAGGGCCAGAAATTCATTCCTCTTTCTCCTAAACACGAAACCCACCTGCATCAACCCCAAAATACACAAAGCCCCCTAAACTCTGAACCCTCGTTCTCTTTGCTCGTGGCTAAGACCAGGCTGTACAGCTCCTCCGGATCTTCGCCCGCGTTTTTTCCGGGGAATGGGCGAGCGGGGAAACGAGCTTCAGGGCTGTTCTCAAGGTCTCGACTGGGATATGTACCTTTCTCCACAGGTGTAGGGAGTGCCAGGTTGCGAAAAGAGCGACAACGTAAGCTATGGGCTTCTGCCTGACGTCCTGCTGCGTGCTTTTTTCTGATTTCAGGCTTCGAAGTGTCGAGGAGTTCAGGGTGTAGCTTTCGTGTTTGGAGCTCGAGGGTTGCGGCTTGACTGTTTGGGGTTTAGGGTTTAGGGTTCAGGGTTTAGGGTCTAGGGTTCTGGGGCACCAGGGGTTGTGAGTTTTAGGGCTTGAGGTCTACGAGGCTGCCGAACCCCCTTTGCTTCTTCACCCATCCCAGGAAACCCCTCGAAGGCGTCAGTATCGACACAGCCGAAGCTGAAAGCTCAGAGGCCTTCTGAGGGCAGGTTCACAGACGAGGCACTCGTAACACCAAAACCCAGCTCCAAGCACCCGTAAAGACTAATATAGGGGCCTTAATAATTAGAATAGGGTTTGGGGGGCCCAGTATACTATATTTATAATAAGGAACCCCCAAAATGGGGGCCCATTATACTATATTTATAATAAGAATTTCCAAAAATAGTGCATGGAATTATTTCAACACGAACCGAACTTTCATCGCCTTTAGGCCCGTTGCTTCAGCGGCAGGCCTCTTTGCAATCGAGCTAAGCTACAAGCTGCCGGCCATAGGGTCTCGGTCTCTCCACGGTTTAGGGTTTAGGGT